GAATCCCCCAATCAGTATTATTGGGGGAAAGAAAGATGCTTTAACAATGTCTCTCTCCAGATCTTCCCTGAGCCAGAATTGTTTTAACTTCCTCTTTCCATCCTGGTAGCTCCCTAGTCAGCGTTCCTGAGAAAAGTTGCTGTTTCTGTGCTACGGCTAGCTACAAAAAAATATGGCTATCTTGAGACAGAGGGGAATTAATAATAATAATTAGCACAGGGAAAGAATGATCACCATGATGCTATGAAATATCTCTTGGCTTCCTTTCCTTTCCCCCCCTTCCCCCCTCCCTCTCTTTTTCTCTCTCTCTCCACAAACTGAGTCTGGGTGGCTTACAACATTTAATGCAATAAAACCATACAAATACAGGCAATCCTTGGCTTATAACACTTCATTTAGAGGCCGTTCAAAGTTACAACAGCACTGGAAAAAAAACGACTTACAACCATTTTTCACGCTTGTGACTGTTGCAGCAACCCCATAGTCACGTGATCAAAATTCAGACGCTTGGCCAACTGACTCATATTTATGACAGTTGCAGTGTCCTGGAGTCGCATGATCCCCCTGTCAGGCTCCAAGTAATGCATCCATTACAAATACACCCATTGCTTTTCCTCAAAGACCAAATTTCTTTAGATACATCATCTTGGTGTTACTGGCGAAAAGCCAGTACTGAAGTTCCCGGGCTTTTCACCCCAATATAAGTTTCAGTTTCTCAAGTTCCCAAAACAAACTGTCACATTGTCCAACCAAGATGGGAACTGGTTGCTTGGCGACTTCTCCGGTCAACCAGCTGTTGGAATGTGGTTGACTCATCAGCTAGGAATGATGTTTTGACTGAAGGCTCTATTCTCCTTCAACCTCAAACTGTGTCAAACTGAATTCATGTCAAATACCCAATGATACAAACAATTCCACACCCCAATCAAATTCAGGCTTGACACCCCTTTTGCAACCTTCTCATAAGCAAAGTCAATGGGGAAATCAGATTCACTTAACCACGGTACCAAGTTAACAACTGCAGTGATTTACTTAACAGCTGTGGCAAGGAAAGTCATAGAGTGAGGCAAAACTCACTTAAGAAATGTCTTAAGACAAATGTCTTAGCAATTTGGACCTCCATTGTGATCATAAATTGAGGACTACCTGTACATATATCTAATACCAATAGCAATAAGACTTATATACTGCTTCATTGTGCTTTTACAGCCCTAAGCAGTTTACAGAATCAGCATATTGCCCCTAACAATCTGGGTCTTCATTTTACTCACCTTGGAAGGATGGAAAGCTGAGTCAACCTTGAGCCTGATGAGACTTGAACTGCTGGCAGTCAGCAGAATTAGCCTGCAATACTGCATTCTAACCCCACTGTGCCACCATGGCTCTTCCAAATACAAATGCAACCCAGCAGTTATACATGTTCATGCTAAGGTACAGTCTGACACAGGAGTTTCCTACATTTAAACATTTTCCCAGTTATGGGCTAAAGGACCAAGAACTACAGGAAACCGACAAAATGGTAAGGCAAACTTGGATGCAGTGATTGCCATCTAAGAATCTTAACTGGACAGGTTTCTCCAACTCTGTGACAGTCAATCCAATAGAAATTCTGCAAGCATTCGAAAGGCAAAAAAAGAACAATAAATTCCACAGCTCTGAGTAATCTCTGGGGCTCCTTCTGAGCCAGCCCAAAAGAGCTGAAATAATCTGTCCAAAGAACATGAATGCTACATCTTACACTGCATCACTGGTACTTTTGCCATCTTCCATTCATCAAAAGGCCATTCAGTCCTCAAGGGGACTATTTTTTCTCCTCAAGAGAGCACTTATTTTTAGGTTTTATCTCTTGAGGGTCAGATCAGAGACAGATTGCCTTCCCACTGCTGGAAAACATCTTGGCTGGTTCTGTCAAGTCTTGTCTTCTTTTGCCCTAGAATGTCAGTGTCATCTCTTGTCAATCTCTGCCTATTCCCAGTAGAGATGAGCTTTTTCAGTGTCTAAACTAGAGAGGTCCAATCTTGACAACTTTAAGACTTGTGGTCTTGAACTTCCAGAATTTCCCAACCACCTGTGAACAACCCTGATCTAGACCTTGCCTTTCTCTGACTTGTCATCAGATACTTTGTGAGATAAAGGGAGAAAATGGATCAGTAGAAATTTCATCCATACCTTAAGCAATGCCTCAGATAGAAAGTCCATACAGAGAGTGGTAAGGACAGCTGAGAAGATCATAGGAAGCTGACTTCCCGTTATTCAGGATACTACTTATAAGCGCTATACACTTAGAGTTCAAAGCATTGTCAGAGACCCCACACACCCACTTTACGGTCTGTTTCTGTTGCTCCCCTCTGGGAGGAGAATTTCAAAGTATTTCTAGCAGGACTACCAGATTCTGGAACAGCTTTATGCTTTACGCCATCTGTCTAGTAAATTCACAAGATTCGTTTTTCTCACCATGTACACGTATACACCCGAAATAGACTGTGTCGTTTCTCCATGTCAGGGGTGTCAAACTCAGTTTCATGGAGGGCAACATCAGGGTTGTGTTTGACCTCAGGGGGCCAGAATAGGTGTGGCCAGCTCGACCGGGGGTGGGGGTGTGTGGGCTGTGGTGATCTGAGCACTCTGCCAGCAAAAACGGCCTCCCAAGCTCCGTTTTCAGCTGCGACTGCTTTTGGCAACCCTCTGCCAGCTAAAACGGAGCTCAGGAGGGCTGCATGTGGCCCTCCTGAGTTCCGTTTTCACTGGCAGAGGCACTGCGTGTCGGTCCTTTGCCGTTTCCAGGGTGGCCCGGCGGGTGCTTAGATCTGTTCCCGATTCTAGGGGGTGATGCTCATCTCCGTTTCAAAGCCAAAGAGCTAGACGTCTCGGTAGTCATGTGGCCGGCATGATTAAAACACCAAAGGCACACAGACCGCTGTTACCTTCCTACCACAGGTGGCCCCTATTTTTCTACTTGCATTTTTTACGTCGTGTTTAAGTAGTGGATGTTGGAGGTGGTGACCCTTTGAGAGCGGTACGCGACGAAATTTCCTTTTAATGCCTGTCGATTAGTGTACATTCAAAGTGACAATGAAGTTATTCTAAGTCATGGCTTCTTGTCTGCCCCCGGAAGCAAAGACCATTTGAATCCAGATGAGCTTTACTTGAGAAGATTTCCATCACTTGAGCATTCATAAGTTGCAGAGGCCTGATTCCATGTGGCCTCTTGGACCATTATAAATAGTCCTCGACTCAAAGCTGGTTGCTTAGCAACCATTTAAGTTACGATCTCTCTGAAAAGGGTAGACTTAAGACCCAGATGCAAGGTTCCAACCATCTCTTCCCCCACCGCCATGGTAGACTGCCACCATGGTCACATGACCATATTTCACAACAGTTTTGGTGGAAACGGGCCCGCCCGGATTTTGGCAGTACTGCACCATAGGAAACCATGGGTTCAGTTATCGACACCTGTAAAAGTGATCATACAACTGGGTGGGTTATATGATCATTTTATAAACATTACAGCTTACGGCTATAATGAGCAACGGTCCATATACTGTCGTACCTCAAGGACTGTCCTATTCTCCGCTTTTAGAATTGGTCTTTCAAATGTGGAGGATTTTTTTTGTTTTTTACAAAAAAATGGTTTAATATGTCTGACAACTACCACACTTTTGTTTAGAAGGATTACTGGTTGAGCATTTCTTCCAGTTGACGCAACCATTTTGGCCACGCTTCATGAACACCTTACAGATCCCTGGGTGCTCAGGAGGGTTTCCCAAGGAACTTTCTAGAGAATGTAGAAGGAAGAGATAGAAAAGTCTGCCCTTTTTAAAATCTTTGAGCTCACCATTCACGGAATCTAATCCTTTGCAGGTAGTCCTCCATCTACAACCATTCGTTCAGTGAACGTACAACAGCACTAAAAAAGTGACTTACGACAATTTTTCACACTTAACGACCGTTGCAGCATTCCCCCTTGTCACGTGATCAAAATTTGGACACCTGGCAACTGGCATACATTTATTTATTGGTTCGATTTATATGCCGCCCTTTTCCGGAGACTCAGGGCGGCTTACAATGCGTTAAGCAATAGCCTTCATACTTTTGTATATACCTGCTTAGTAGGGCTTTCGGGCCCCCCCCCCCAGCGGTGTTCTTTTTTATACAAAGTCAGCTTATTGCCCCCACAAACCGGGTCCTCATTTTACCTACCTCGAAAGGATGGAAGGCTGAGTCAACCTTAAGCCTGGTGAGATTTGAACTTGCAGTAATTGCAGGCAGCTGGTGTTACTTAACAGCACTTTAGTCTGCTGCGCTACCAAGGCTCTTATGATGCTTGCAGTGTCCTGGGATCGTGTGATCACTTTTTTGGGACCTTCTGACAAGGAAAGTCCCACTTTTTTGGGACCTTCTGACAAGGAAAGTCAATGAGAGAGGCAGACTTACTTAATAACTGTGTTATTTCCTTCACAACTGCAGTGTTTCATGTAACGAGTGTGGCAAGAAAGGTCATAAAATGGGGCAAAACTCAACAGCTGTCTTGCTTAGTGACATAAACTTTGGGCTCAGTTGTGGTCCTAAGATGAGGCCTCCCCTGATCTGATTTCCACTGTAATGGATTAACTCGATGGGTATCATTTTATTATTTTTGACTGACTTGGAGCTCCACATTTTTTCAGATCCCTATAAAATATTTTGTGCCTTTTTCACTTCTTATGTCCCTTTGTGTTACCCGAGAACTTTTTTTTAATGTAGAGAAAGCTGCCAGCAGCAAAAGTGCTAACATTATGGTAATAATTTTTTTCTCTCTTCCTCCTTTCACTCGTCCTCAGCAGCAGCAAAATTTACAGCTTAATGTGTTTCTTTATTTCCCAGAAATAGACAAGTGCTGTTTTCAGCAGCATTTTTTTTATTTTATCCCCGGCACGAATCTTAAGTCAAGCTTACAGCTTCTCTTAGCACTGTGGGTAGATACTTTATTGGTTTTTATTGTTGCTTATTTTGTCTTTCAGTTCAACTTTGTGGGGAAACTTTTGGGCCCGCGCGGCAATTCTCTGAAGCGCTTGCAAGAGGAGACATTGACAAAAATGTCCATATTGGGAAAAGGATCCATGAGGGATAAAGCAAAGGTAAAATTGCTGGCGGAAGATCATTAGCGTGCACTGTACTGCTGTGTGTGTGTGTCTTTCCTCACCAATCCTAGGGTATCCTGGGGAGAATTAAAGCAAACACAAGTCAAGGTATACATAATGACCTATCCCGATTTGCATTCTGCGTGCATTTTGCTCTTCCCACCATGCATCCCTTGCCTCAGAGAACATTCAGGTTTTTTGCATGCCTTTTGAGGATAGTTGGAATGGACTGTTGACTGCCCAAACTAGCCTCCAAATTCCTCCTCATGAACACCACCATGGTACAGGCACTCGATTTCACCTTTATTTCGCTTAGGCAGCAGGCTTGGTTTAGTGGTTAAGGTAGATTAGAAATCGGGAGGTGGTGAGCTGTAGTCCACCTTAGGCATGAAAGCCAGCTGGGTGACTTTGGGCCAATCACCAGGAGATGGTGAGTTCTAGTCCCACCTTAGTCCTGAAATCCTCTGGGTGTTCTGTCCCCAACCACACGCACACACACCAACAGACATTCAAGAGTTAAAGACCAAACCAGCCGGCAAAATCCTTTTCCTTATGATAACGGAACTTGGCAACAACCTAGTGGCTGCCTGCCAAGAGTTTATTATTTACGAAGAGGAGAGATAACTTCTCCCCACTTCTGGTACATCAAAAGAAACAGCTCAATAATTACAGAGTCAATCAAGTCCAGAGATAATCCAGCAAAGTCTATAGCAAAAGTCCGGCAATGCAGAATGGCGTGGAAGCTTTCAGCTTTGTTCGTCACAAGGTTTGACTGGCCACCACACTCCCTTTTATATCCTGTGGGGTGTGGTCCAGTGACTCAGCCTAATTTCGGGCACGCCTTCTGTTGCGCGCGCTTATCTCTGCGACGCTGGCGTGGATCCAGCCAAGACTCATTATCCTCATCACTGTCCATCTGCGTGGATGTGCTTGGCCCCGGCCCTATCTCTTGCCCTTCGGCAGACACCGAAGGCATTGCCAGAGAGGAGGGTCCTGGAGAGGGAGGCCTTGCCAACTCCTCTCCTTCACTCTCGGAGTCCTCTCCTGCCGATGACACAGGCTCAGGTAACGGAGCCACAACACTGGGTGACCTTGGTCGAATCACCAGGAGATGGTGAGTTCTAGTCCCACCTTAGGCCTGAAAGCCTCTGGGTGACCTTGGATTTAGTGGAGTAGCAAAGATACTCATTTTGTGACAGTGGAAATATAGCTTGCTGATGCAGTATTTCTTAACCTTGGCAATTGGACTTCAGCTCCAAGAATTCTCCAGGCAGCTTGCTGGGAAATGAGGCCCACAATGGTAAAGTTGCCAAGTTGAAGTTGAAAAAAAAAACACTGGAATAGATAATATGTGTTCTGTTTTCCTTCAATGAATCAATATTCTGCCTACACAATGGGAAGTCTCATCAATTACATTCAGTGAGGTCAGGACTTAATACTGTCTTTAAAAACTGAGCTCTAATGTGTTTTTTCCCTTTCTGTTTTTGTATTTGTTTCCCTTATACTTCTGTATGTAAAACAAGGAAATAAAAAAACCCACATTTGCCTCTCTTTGTCAAGAGTTCCATTTAGATTACGATTAATCAAACTGTCTAGCACAGGTCTTGATTATCTCTGCTCTTCTACATCTTCTTTTATTATGTAGATTATTATGTAGATTGAAAATTCTGAGCAAATCAGACCAGGATTGCATATTCATAGAATCATAGAATAACAGAGTTGGCAGGGACCCTGGAGGTCTTCTAGTCCAACCCCCTGCTTAGGCAGAAAACCCTACACCACTTTAGACAAATGGTTATCCAACATCATCTTAAAAACTTCCAGTGTTGGAGCATTCACAACTTCTGGCTGGGACGGCCTCCTGCAACCCTCTGCCAGGGAAAACGGAGCTTGGGAGGACCACACCGGATGGCTGCGAAGGCCTCCTGCAACCCTCTGCCAGAAAAACGGAGCTCGGGAGGGCTGCCCGAGCTTTGTTTTCGCTGGCAGAGGGTTGCAGGAGGCCTTCACAGCCAGAAACGGAGCTCGGGAGCCCGTTTTCCCTGGCAGAGCACTGCCACAGGTGCCCCTGACAGTGACATCAAGCAGTCCACGCCCACTCTGGCCACACACCCCTCCCTCCCCAAGGCCAAACACAACCCTGATGTGTCCCTCAATGAAATCGAGTTTGACGCCCCTGACTTAGAGAGTGTTGTAAAGCAAGTGTGAAGTGGTATATAAATCTTAAGTGCTATTGGTATTTCAGTAACCTTTGCTCTTATTTGTTGTCTGAACCGGCAAGGAGCATCTGTAATCCTCTTGTTCACTTTGCTTGACAGGCCCCTCACCCAATTACCATACAATATCTTTATTACAGTTTTCATGTGCGCTTTTATCTTTCAATCCTGGGTGCTCTTTGGCCCATCTTAGTAGACCCTGCGATGGTTGTTTACCAGGTGGCTTGATTGTTTGTGTATCCCCCCTCTGCTTTGTTCACTCTTAAATTATTCAGGATATCGGGGCTTGCATTGTTTCCCACGGGAGACTATTAGAGCCTAATAGCTCTCACTGTTAAAAAGGATTTTCTTGAAAGCTGGTTTAGCTTCTTCTTCTTTTTTTCCAGATTAAATTCATTACTCGTAGCTCCTACTCGGTTCTGTGTGTGGACTTTGCTAAATTGCTTTAAAAAATAAATTTAATTTGATTTAATTAATTCAATTTATATGCCGCCCCTCTCCAAAGACTCAGGGCGGCTCACAATACATTTTAAAAAATCATTATAAAAAAACATTTAAAAATTAAAAACATTAAAAACTCATTCATGCCATTCATGGCCGGATCTCACCAGATCACAAGAGCGAGATCAACGGCCCCAGGCCTGCCGGAAAAGCCAGGTCTTCACCGCTTTTTGGAAGGCCAATAGGGTGGGGATGGTCCGGATCTCAGGAGGTAACTGGTTCCAGAGAGCTGGGGCAGCCACAGAGAAGGCCCTCCCCCGCGGGCCCGCCAGCCGACATTGTTTAGCTGATGGACCCGGAGGAGACCAACTCTGTGGGATCTTACCGGTCGCTGGGAGCTATGCGGCAGAAGGCGGTCTTGAAGATAACCTGTCCTTAGCCATGTAAAGAATTCTCTTCATTCAATTCAGTTCAAATCTTTATTGTCAGTGCACAACATATGTACAGTGAGATTGGTTGAGCTCCCTCAGTGCCCCCCCCAACACAATACAACTCACCGTGAAGACAGAAAATCCCTAACCCAGTAAATCATATTAACAAAACACTCAGTCCTATTGCACCAGTGTGAACGTGTTACACGTTGCGCCGGCCCTGCAGTCCATCATACTACATACCGTATTTTTTGGAGTATAAGACGCACCTTTTTCCCCCCCAAAAAGAGGGTGAAAATCTGGGTGCATCTTATACTCCGAATGTAGCCCCGCCCAGCTTCTCAAAGGGAGGTTTCAGAAGCTGAAAAAAGCATCAGAAACAAAGCTTCAGAAAAAAAGCCCCCAAACAGAGCTTCAAAGGCCTTTTTTTCTGAAGCTCTGTTTCGGAGGCTTTCAGAGGCAGGAAAAAAAGCAAAAAAAAAAAAAAAAAAGCAAGGCACAGAGCTGACAACCAAGGAACCTGTTGCTAAAATTCACCTCTGGGAACAGCTGATTGGGGGTATCCCGGGAGGCCTATCCACCTGCCAATCAGCTTTTTTCTTATTTTCCTCCCCAAAAACTAAGGTGTGTCTTATACTCCGGTGCGTCTTATACTCTGAAAAATACGGTAGTTATGGTGTTATTTCTTACTCAGGAGTCTGACAGCCCATGGATAAAAACAGTTCTTCAGCCTGCTTGTGCGAAAGCCGCCTTCATTAGGTTACAAGTAAGACAGCACTGGAATGCAGGCAGGGGACCGAACACGGTTTGTCTCGTTGCCACAAATAAAGAAACGGAGAGGCTAATAAGAACAGAGCCTTTATATATCTTTTCTTCTACCCGTTCTTTCTTACAAGACTCAAACTACCCAGTACTTTTGACGTGTGTTAGCTTTCCCGATTTACGTGGGCCTGTCAAACCGATCCCATTATTTTTGCTATAAATATCAGACTAAAAAGATGGTTACCCAGAAGTGGTTTCTGAGCGACACAGGCCTAAGTAGCTCATAATTAACGACACAAACAAGATGCAAGAACTTTTAACAAGAGCAGTCAAAGGTGTGTCTGAGGTCCTTGCTGGAAAAACAGTTTAGCGTAGAGTATTTTTAATACACCCTAACTAGAACAATAATATAGAAGCACTTCAGAACATACATAGACTAGCAACGCAAAAGAGGCCATCGTGAGTTTCTGACTATTCAGTATACCACGGGCTTCTGATATACTTGAGGGTAAGGAATGTCCTTAAATGCCCCTCTTCAAATCATTAGTAATATTGCTCTGTACTTCTAGTTTTGTTTTTCCCCAATCAACACCCATTTATCTTAATTTACAAAGCAGTCTATTATCTAATTCTCTGCAAAGCATAATGCTATATGCCCAAAGCCTTTAATAAAATAAACGCAATGTCTCACCTAAGTGCAGTGGAAAATGGAAGTTTATGTGTGTGTGTGTGTAGATATACTCACAAACACACACATTCCATTTTCCACTACACCTGGGGTGGGCCACAGCCTTAATTTTAATAAATGCTCTAGGTAGGTAGGTGGGTAGGTAGGTAGAAAGAATCCAGATTTTGAGGTGGCTTACTTAATTTATCAACTAGGTTGTAAGTTAGATGGGGTCGAAATACCAAAAGGCATATTTGTTCCAGACCTTCCTTTACCTCCCCTCTTTTATCCCATCTCTGTGGTTCATCCGTGATTACCTATATGTGTTGAAAGGGTCAATGGCATCTGCTAAGCATCGCAATATTTCAGTTGCCAGGCAACAGAGATAAGATGGAATGGCAAAACAGAGGAAGTAGAGCAGAAATAGAACATTTGGTGAGGGAAAAGTATTGTGACAAAGACGAAAACTTAAAGCAGACTTCACGTTATGTGCCAGAAGTTGGTGGCATTTCGTAGTTGGGGAGGGGGAAAAAAGATCAAATCACACCATTTACTCGTTGGGTGCGTCCTTTGGTGTGATAAAGTGGGGTGAATGAGGATGCAGGTTGCCTATATTAAAGCCAGCATTAAAATACTTAGCTGATTGACAGCTCTGAAGGGCAACGGATCTGTTCAGCTTTCATTTCCAGAAAGTCTGGGAGATGGTGTTTTGTTTTGTTTTTTCCTTCAGTTTCCAAGATCTTTCCTGGTATGTAGGCCTTGGTGGTGGATGAATCCATGAGCAAATAAGCACTTTTAAATGGAGTATCCAAAATATACCTTTTTCGTAAGAACATAGCAGGATTTTGAGAATTCCCATAAGACTGGAAGTTCTTTAGAAGATGTGTAACTCCATCTTGTTTCACCCCGGTTACAAAGGCGGTGGTATAAAATCCAGCATATTTTTGATTTAGAGGCAGACCATTGTAGATCTGTTGAACAAGCTATGGGATGCAACCATGAATAGCATTGTTGGCAAAGTTAAATCTAATTCAGAATTCTCTCTCTGGTACCACATAATATTTTTTCTCAATCTTGGTCACCTCTAGACTTCAACTCCCAGAATTGCTTGCTGGGGAATCCTGGGAGTTGAAGTCTAAAGATGTTAAAGTGCCTAAGGTTGAGAAATACTGCGGTATAGATCAGGGGTCTCCAAGCTTGGCAACTTTAAGACTTGTGGACTTCAACTCCCAGAGTTCCTCAGCCAGCAAAGCTGAGGTCCACAAGTCTTAAAGTTGCCAAGCTTGGAGACCCCTGGTATAGATACTTGCTATCTATAAGACATGAGACCTAGTTTCTATTCATAAAATTGGCTTGGTTACCGGTTATATAGGGCTCAATTGTTGTCATACTTCAAGGACTACCTGTATACCATAAAACATTAGCAGAGTGGGCCCCGTGGTATCTTGGAATTATTTAGTTAAGTGATGACACGGGGAATCCATATGGTATACTTATTTACAGATTCATTTTGGTTAATTATTCCTTCCCACCCCCACCCCTCGACCCCTAGCAGTGTCTAAAACTATCCATGATCGTTCTCTGATTTCTTGCCATGTGTTTCTTCAAGCAATGATTTCATGTGACATTTTTCTGTTTTCCCAGGAAGAAGAATTGAGGAAAAGTGGAGAAGCAAAGTATTTCCATCTAAACGATGATCTGCATGTTCTCATCGAAGTGTTTGCCCCACCAGCTGAAGCCTATGCCAGAATGGGACACGCGCTGGAAGAAATTAAGAAATTTCTCATTCCTGTAAGTACCGATCACTGCCATTGTTCTTGTTTGTTTGTTTGTTCATTCATTCATTCATTCATTCATTCATTCATTTATTCTTCAGTTTCTATGGCCACCCACCTCAACAAGTGACTCTGGGCAGCAGACAGAATTAAAATGAAATGAAAAGAATTACAAAATGTTACAAAAGTTAAAATGCAAAGCAACTAAGAAAAAATAAAATAAAATTCCTAACACAGGGATGTCAGACTCGATTTTATTGATGGCCACATCAATAGCAATAGCACTTGGACTTATATACCACTTCACAGTGCTTTATAGCCCACTCTAAGCGGTTTACAGAATCATCATATTGCCCCCAACAGTCTGGGTCCTCATTTTACCCACCTCAGAAGGATGGAAGGCTGAGTCACCTTGAGCCTGGTGAGATTCGAACTGCCAAACTGCTGGCAGCCGGTGATGAGCAGAAGTAGCCTGCAGTACTGCATCAGGGTTGTGTTTGACTTCGGGGGACCGGGATGGACATGCCCAGGGGGCATGGCCAGCTCGACATCACCTGTGGTTACATTCTTGATTAAATTATCTTTCCATTGATATATAATTTTATGGTACTAAAAAAAAGTGGTGTTATTAGCTAGTTTTAGAAAATACACTTTTCCCAAAAGGTTTCCACAATTTTGGCCACTAGGGTATACAGGTAGCCCTCTACTTACAACCATTCCTTTAATGACCGTCTTGAGGCCAAAAGAGCACTGAAAAAAGTAGCTTATGACCATTTTTCACACTTACGACCATTTTTCACACTATTGCAGCATCCCCATGGTCACATGATCAAAATTTGGATGCTTGGCAACTGGCATGTACTTATGACTGTTGCAGCAGTCTGGGGTCATGTGATCATCTTTTGCCACCTCCTGACAAACAAAATCAATGGGGAAGCCACATAATAACTAAATTATACTTAGCAACTGCAAGGGATTATGGGGGTTGTTAAAAGAAGAACTGCAGTCGTTCACTTAACAACTGTGACAAGGTTATAAAATGGGACAAAGATCACTTAACAACTGTCTTGCTTAGCAATGGAAATTTCGGGACTCAACGGTCGTAAATCAAGGACTACCTGTAATGCATGCAGAATTGTTTCTGCCCTGAACCAATTTCCTCATTTTAAGAGATACACAGGCACTGTATATACAGATATTTATGACTATGAATAACTGCCATTATCTTCAACTATCAGTGAATCCTGCAGTCGTGGATTAAAATGTACAGTTATGGTCCTTTGTACTTAAGTTGAGTGTTACCATTCATATCTCACACTGTTACGGCATTATTAATTCGGTGATCTAAACGGGTGGGCTTCAAAAATTTTAGCAAGGGGTTCTCTGCCTGGTTGCTGGGTGGGCATGGCCTAGTCAGCCTCCTGCACCACGGCGGGGGGCGGGTTGTCCTCCCCGGGCTCCGGAGGCTTTGCCTGAGCCTCTGGGAAGACGAAAACATCCTCCTCAGGCTCCAGAGGCCCTCTGGAGGTCGGAAATAGGCCAAAGGTCTGGTAGGCCCGTTTTTCACCCTCTGCGCGTGCCCTGCACTTACCTGCATCCAAAACGGGCCGCATGGGGACTCCTGGGAGGGGAGGGGTGAGATGGGAGGGGCCAGCCTGGAGTGGGATTTGGGGGTTCTCTGAACTGCACAGAATTTTAGCTAGAGGTTTTCCCGAACACCTGCGAACCCCCAGCAGCCCACCCCTGGATCTAAGTTAACGCAGGCATATGAAGTCCATGATTTTAACCCATGTGTTTACTTTCTAATGTATGATTATTCAAAAGTGGTACTCTGTTGTTTTGTTACCATTGCAGATTTAATTTTAATTTAATTTAATTTATTTTGAATTTGCCCTTCTCCCTGAGGACTCAGGGTGGTGAACAGCCAAGTAAAAACATCAAATACAAATATTAAAATACAATTAAAAATATATATAAATTTGGCCCCATTAATTAAAAACAATAAACAAAACAATTAAAACACTTAAAAAATTAGGCCAGCTGGCTTGCTGGAAAAGGAAGGTTTTAAGGGCACGGCGGAAGGCACCGAAGTCTTGGATTCTCCTTATCTCTGGGGGGAGCTGATTCCAGAGGGTGGGTGCCCCCACAGAGAAGGCCCTCCCCCTGGGGGTCACCAGCCTGCACTGTTTGGCTGATGGCACCCCGAGGAGGCCCTCTCTGTGGGAGCGCACGGGTCGATGGGAGGTCGTCGGTGGCAGCAGGCGGTCTCGAAGATAGCTAGGCCCTATGCCATGGAGCACTTTAAAGGTGATAACCAACACCTTGAAGCGCACCCGGAAGACCACTGGGAGCCAGTGCAGCTCGCGCAGGAGCGGTGTTACATGGGAGCTCCATGCTGCTACCGTCACTACCCGCACTGCTGCGTTCTGGACCAGTTGGAGCCTCCGGGTGCTCTTCAAGGGGAGCCCCATGTAGAGAGCTGATTTGGACAATTTTCCCAACCTGCTATCTACAAGTAGATTTGATTATTAGACACTGACATGACCATCACTTTAATCAGGCAGTTTTCTCCAAATACCTGCATGGTAATTTTTTTATTTTTTTTATTATTATTATTTTTTTGCAATTAATGAGTCTGTAGCAGCAGGCAACCCAGTTGAGTGTGGTACGTTCATGTTGTAGATTATTAGGACAAATACTTCTTGATTACTTTCCCATTGCTGATAAATTTTTTAAAAAAGCCAATTTCAAAACACCATAAAAGTGGAAAACATTAAGATGATCGAAAGCAGCCTACAGAATAGAAGCATTAAAATACTTAAAAATTAAAATATTTTAATGGCCTAGCATAAACGTTTTTGCCGAACCATGCAAAAAGAGAAGAGAATACCAGATGAAATAGCACTTTATAGTTATCTCAAGGATTGAAATATTTGCATGTACAGGAAACCCTTGATTAGACTCCAATTTATTTTAGCTTCAGTAGACAATAAACATATTTGGACATTTTCTCTAAAATAATGGGTTTCACTCATTGTATTCGTACTAGTTTAAATGGTTCACTGAACTTTACATTAATTCTGCCAATTTATGTCATTGACATAAATTATGCAGATGGTTTACATTTGTATTGAATCTAATGGTCATTTAAGTTTTAACTGTTAACCTTCTACCCAGGAATATGTTAGATTGAGTTTTACTGTATGTTGCAAACGATTTGACATGCAGTGTACCACATATATACACGCAAATAAGGTGAGAATTTTCTGTGTCAAAATAACACCCCCAAAATTGAGTTCAGCCTATGCACAGATGGGCTTTCTTATGCATACACATAATACTTTAAAGAAGTACCCATATATTCTGTATATACTCACATATTAGCCCATCCGGAGATAAGCTGACCCTCAAATTTTTAACTACAATGCCATGAAAAATGGATAATCCACGGATTATCCACGGATAAACCAATTATTAAAAATTAAAACATATGAAAATTTTGAGGGTTGAGTTATCTGGAGGTGGCACTTTTTCACGGTTTTTAGGTTAAAAGGGGGTCAGCTTATCCGTGGATGGGCTTATACATACAGTCATTTCAAGATTTTATACATTTTGTAATTCCCTAAAAAACACTAATAGAACTTACCATTATGAGGACATGATAAATTATGTATTTTAGTGAGAAATGAATGCATCCCTAAATCTTCTGAACGTTAGATAACTCTTGTACTTTTGCAATAAAATGACAATGTTGTGAAGAAGCCTGAAACCGAAGTTTGCTGTTTGGGGGCTGAAAATATGTAAGCTACTTGTTATATAACACTTGTAGCACATTGGCAAGGCTGTGTGTTACTATGTTAAAATTATGGAGGAAGATAAAATAGTGCCAGGACTGTAGCTGTCTTGAAGATCCTGTCTACCAATCAACATTCTCCAGGATGATAATAATACAAATAGCCTGCGACTTATGATCACAATTGAGCCCCAAATTTCTGTTGCTAAGTGAGACATTTGTTAAATGAGTTATGTCACCATTTTATGACATTCCATGCCATAGTTGTTAAATGAATCATTGCAGTTGTTTAGTATCACAATTGTTAAGTGAATCTGGCTTCCCCATTGACTTTGCAAAAGATGATTACATGACCCTGGGATACTGCCACCGTCATAAATATGAGTCAGTTCCCGAGCATCTGACTTTTGATGATGTGACCGTGGGGATGCAACAGTTGTAAGTGAGAAAAAAGGTCATCGGTCACTTATTTCCCCAGTGCTGTTGTAACTTTGAAAGGTCACTGAATGAAGTGATGTAAGTTGAGGACTATCTATATGGACTAATCTCTAGTATCTCTAGACTAATATCATTTCACTGGTGTTTCAGTGCTAGCTCAATGTTTTGTAGTAAAACCTTCCTTCTAAACAATCTTCAGTATTTGTTTGGAAAACAAGCTGTGTGTTTTTAAATCTCAATAAGCACAAAAAATCACCTCTCCGCTTCCTATGAAATAAATATCTGAACTAGAGACCAAGGCGCTCAGCACAGAAATTTCGGATAGGGATAGGGATAGGGGTGGGGCGGAACGGAACGGAACGGAACGGAACGGAACGGAACAGAACAGAACAGAACAGAACAGAACAGAATAGAATAACAGAGTTGGAAGGGACCGTGGAGATCTTCTAGTCCAACCCCCTGCTTAGGCAGGAAACCTTATACCACTTCAGACACATGGTTATCCAACATCTTCTTTAAAAACTTCCAGTGTTGGTGCATTCACAACTTCTGGGGGCAAATTGTTCCACTGATTAATTGTTGTAACTGTCAGGAAATTTCTACTTAGTTCTAAGTTGCTTCTCTCCTTGGTTAGTTTCCACCCATTGCTTCTTCTCCTGCCTTCAGGTGCTTTGGAGAATAGCTTGACTCCCTCTTCTTTGTGGCAGCCCCTGAGATATTGGATAACTGCTATCATGTCTCCCCTAGTCCTTCTTTTCATCAAACTAGACATACCCAATTCCAGCAACCGTTCTTGTTTTAGCCTCCAGTCCCCTAATCATCTTTGTTGCTATTGTTTCATTCATTCTTCTGTGACTTAAAAGCTTTGCTTTTTCTTAAAATACAGACCTAATTATGTGTAACTAGAGTTTAACATTAATCTATGGATGCATGTATTCTTTATTACCTTAAAATCCGGGCTTCAAGATCTTCCCTTAGAGCCATGATGGCGAACCTATGGCACACGTGCCACAGGTGGCATGCAGAGCCCTCTCTGTGGGCATGTGAGTCCCCGCCAGCTGCCCCTTGGGTTCTGGCATGAGCATACATGCCAGCCAACTGGTCTTCGTGTGCGCCGGAGCACCGGAAACCAGAAGGCCATTTGGCCAGTGCACATGCGCGTGCCAGCCGCCTGGTCGTTCTGTTTCCGGAATGCACGTGTGTGCTAGCTAGCTGATCTTTGGGTTTGTGGTGCTCCGGCGCACATGCCGCACATCAGCCACCTGGTCTTTCGGTTTCCAGCACGCACTGTTCTGCCCAAGCTACGGCCCCCAAAGAACACAGCACACATAAAGTCCGTTTGAACATTAGTTTACTAAATAAACCAGTTTTTTGCAACAACAACGCATGTTAACTGCATTAACAGCCGCCAACAATTCAAAGAATAATAACTGAACTTACTATGGTTGGCAGAATGTCCAGAAGCAAGTTGCAGGAAGCTGATAAGATAAAACACAAAGGTATGTGAATGAAGTTATTCCCTGCAGATTGCTTCAGTCGGCATTCCTCCTTAAATAGGCTAAGGGAGTGGCCAGTTAGCCCCAAGCCTTACTCTCGAGGAGACCTCCTCCTGAGGAGCCACTCCTGCCTTTTGGCAGCTCTGCGCGCCCGTGCATCGAGAAGAGGCTCCTCCTCTTCGTCCTCTTCACTTAAGGAAGTTTCTGGAGGTTCTGAAGGCCCTGGCTGAATCCCCTCCTCTGGCACTACATCTTCTCCAGCCTCCTCACTGTCCGACTCGAGCGCCAGCTGCACAGGCTGCTGGCGCAGCACTACACCAGCCTCCTCGCTGTCGGAATCAGCTACTAGCTGCACAGGCCGTGTACGGGCCCCAATGCGCACATGTGCGCTGGCCAGCTGGTCTTTGTGCCTGCCGGAGCACTGGAAACTCAAAGACCAGCTGATTTTCGGGTTTGTGGCACTCCAGCACGTGCGCGCACATGCCTGTGCGTGCGCATTCCGGTTTGGGCACTCAGTGCCGAAAAGGTTCGCCATCACTGCTTTAGAGATTTGTGATTCATGCCCCTACAGCTAAAATTTGTGATGTTTTTAGCCGACAAATGTATATAAAAAACAGAATAGAAATGCAATTTGTTCTATGTTTTTTGGGCATTTTCAGATGCACAACAAAGACATGAACTTTTATATGAAAGCTGACATGCCTTCTCTCCCCCCCCCCCCCCCCCCCACCCCTAATAGTCTTTTGGATTTTTTAGACTAATGTTTTCAATCTGTTCTTCCAGTTGTTCAGTTAATGAAGTGTTTAGCAATCCTGACAGGATTTATGAATTTAGCATCCGGGGTAACATTTCTTCAGTGGGAAAGGAAACCTATCTAGAGTCCCTGTGGGAGTAAGATGAAAGAAACCATATTGGCTTCCTTCATCCTCCTTTACGCAACGTTCTCTAACTCAATTATAGAATATTCTGCAAGAGAAATGGAGCTCTGAAGAGCTAACTTCAGCTCATTTATCGATTTTGCTTTTTTTTTTCCCCCTCTCCATCCTGCACGAGGAAGAACGCATCTTCTTTTAATATGCAAGATTATTAAACTATCTTTTTCTAGAACGGGCAAGCCTTCTGGGAACTGAAAGAATTCCTGCAGTTCTCTTGAAAAGGCGGTCAACGGAGAATAGAAAAGTGTATTGCTTGCCTCTTTTTTGTGGCCTGGCGCCTTGGAGGTTTTTCAAGGTTCTTAAAATCAACCTGTCAGCAAAACTATAGACCTCCGTCTGAATACAAATGAAGAATTCAGTCTGTGCTTTTATTAATTATATTAAGTACAGGTAGTCCTCAACTTAGATCACAGTTGAACCCAAAATGGATGTTGCTAAGTGAGAAATTCGTGAAGTGAATTTTACCCTATTTTACGATTTTTCTTGTCACGTTGGTTAAGTGAATCACTGCAGTTGTTAAATTAGCAACACTTTTAAAAGCCTGTGACGATCCAAGCTGAGTTGCCTGATCGGCAGAGGCTTTTTTTTCTTTCAAATGCCTCTGACCATCCAAGCTGAGTTGCCTGATCGGCAGAGGTTTTTTTTCTTTTAAAAGCCTCTGGCAATCCAAGCTGAGTTGCCTGATCGGCAGAGGCTTTTAAAAGAAAAAAAGCCTCTGCCGATCAGGCAACTAAGCTGGGATCGTCAGAGCCTTTTAAAAACATTTTTTTTACAACCTCTTTGCCAAAGAGGTTGTAGAAAAAATGGTTTTAAAAGAAAAAAAATTGGCCACGCCTACCCAGTCACATTACACCCCCCCCACACCGAGCCACGCCCACAGAACCGGTAGTAACAAATTTTAGATTTCACCACTGGTTTGTGGCCTTCGTATTATCTAACAGGCGGTTCCCACCACACCATTCCCAAAGCTCTTGACCCATCTTCAGATCTTTCTTCTTCACTCTACATAAGTGTTTCTCAACCAGAGCAACTTTAAGATGGCTGCACTTCAACTCCCAGAATTCCTCAGCCAACAGGTGAGGTACACCTGTTTTAAGGTTGCGACACACTGTTCTACATCAAAAAACCCTAGGCTGAGATAAGCTACGGACAGTAGAACCTTACGTGATATGGATTATCTTGGGTTGTGATGCATTTGTCTTCCACAATCAACGCTCAGTAAATCTTAGACCTCCGATAGAATATTTTGTAGCTCGGGATTGAACTATAAGGTCCTTATTGCTCTCTGAACTTGAACTGTTTTTTGCTGACGTTCGTTACCCAACTAGGTAACATTATCAATGCGCCGATGATGCTACCTAATTGGATAACGAAAAGTCTGCAAGAAAAGAACCAAGCTCAGAGAGCACTAAGAACCTCACACTATTGTGCATCCATTAACCGCTCTTTACGGATGCTACTGTTTACACTGGACCTTCTCTATCTGTACTACATAGAGGGTTCAGTAAGGAAGCTGTATGTGGGATATGTAAGGTAGAACACACTTGTTTGCTGGGTTGTGGGAAGTCCGTCTCCTTGACCATACTGTTGTGGTCCGCCAGTAGCCTGCGGAGCTGGCAGCGGAGTCGGACAGAGATGAGGCTGAGGAAGAACATGGGCCAGTCCTGGAGGCTGGGGAAGGCCCAGATGAGGGCTCTGCGTCAGAGGCAGAGATGGGGCCAGGGCCATCTGGGAGTGATGCGCGGACTTCGAAGCCTCCAGAGGCTGACAGTAGAGAGACAGAGGAACAGGAGGAGCCTGTTCCTAGTGCACGAGAAGAGCTGCCAGAAGGCAAGAGCAGCTAAAACAGAGAGGACGACTCAGGAGTAAGGCCAAAAGATGATTGGCCGATCCCATAAGGCTTAAAAGACCAGCAACGGCTCTTGGCCTCTTTGCCAGAAAACAACCGTTGAGAGATCTACTTCGTGTTTGGATGTATTTCTTTCTTGTCAGCGTCTTCTGTTCCTGAACTGTTGCCAAGAAAAGCCTTTGGCAGTTTGCCTAATTATTTCAAGGTCAGAGATAAACTGAAGGTGTTTTGAGAACTTTTGCTTTCATTTAATTTGGAATAAGCTGAGAATGAGTTAATTCTCAGCTGTTTTAATAAAATCTGTTTGTTTTTGGAACTGTTTTGCATTTAATATCAACTACGTGGGCCTGGGTCCCAGGATATACACAGCAAATGCAGGACCTGGATGATTACAGTCTGTCTTATCAGGGTATGCTTAAATACTTCTGGACTGTGCTTTGGCAACTGCAATTCTTAAGACTTCATTCGATTGAGGACTGCATTTCTGGGATTTCTGCAGTGTGGTAGTTACAGACAAGTTGACAGCAGGCAGTTTAAAGAAAGCTGGTCTGAGTGTAAAGGGCTGTTGACCACGGCAAATAATAAAGTCTGTAGATACAGAAACATTAAATCTCTTCCCACAAGATTCGGAGGACAAACAGGAGGAAGAAAAAAAAAAATTCAAAGCCTGCTTGATCCAGCAAGACACTTCTTGCCTTTTTTCTCCACCTTCTCACCGGCTTAAAGTAAGCTTAAAGGGGGAAAAAAAGAGAGACTTTCAAGCTTGGATTTCTTAAATCCCACAGAATACTTTCTTTCAGATGTTTGTTTTGTACCGTTTTTGTTTTATCAAAGTGTTGAATCGGCCCTGTACCAAAAAAAGTAATAAAAATAAAAATAAGCCTCCACCAGTTCTTATAACCATAGAACCATGAAATAATAAAAAAAAATTGCTTTTAAGGCTTTGACATGAGTGCATCTTCAACAGCATGATGTCTTTTTCCTCCCCCCCCCCTTTTTTTTTTCTTTTTTTTCTGTTCAGGACTACAATGACGAAATCCGACAAGCGCAGTTGCAGGAATTAACTTACTTGAATGGCGGCTCAGAAAATACTGAAGTTCCGGTAGTCCGTGGAAAGCCTCCCTTAAGGGCACGGGGAGGCCTATCTCCTGCTTTGGCAAGGTATGCAGCGCGGGGGCAGGGGGTGGCAGAGATCAAATTTTGGGCTGTTGGCCCATAAGCTCACTTTACAAGGTTTTTTTGCAGCATGCTGTGGTCATGTGACTGCAATTTTCAGCTTTCTTTTCTGGTTTACAGTCTACTTCCTGCAAAAATATAAAAAAAACCCTTCCCAAGTTGGCTTAATGATCGGAATATTTGTTTAACAACCAAAAAAACAACAAACAAACAACAACAAAAAAAAAGGGATGGTCATAAAATGAGTGAGCCACTTAATGACACCATGGTTTACACCAGTAATTCCAGGCTACAGTCGTAACTTGAAGACTACCTATTAACCACTATCTTTTGCCTTCATACCTCGCGGCCTAACAAGCCTTCAAAATTTAGCAGTAATAGCAATAGCACTTAGATTTATATATCTCTTTATGGTGCTTTACAGCCCTCTCTAAGCGGTTTACAGAGTCAGCCTATTGCCCCCAACAATCTGGGTCCTCATTTTACCTACCTCAGAAGGATGGAAGGCTGAGTCAACCTTGAGCCTGGTGAGAATTGAACTGCCAAATTGCAGGCAGCTGGCAGTCAGCAGAAGTACCCTGCAGTACTGCACTCTAACCACTGCGCCACCGAGGCTCATAATAAAAGAGTTCCTCTCAGACGCATCTCATGGTGTTGAGATAAACATTTATTAAATTCACAAATGCTCTAGCACTACAGATGGGGACTTTAAATGGGGAATGGGGAAAATTTTAGGTGACACTAGATATTTCAAGAAGTTGAAAACAAAAAGGGGTTTTGCTCTGGTCTCAGAAAGGATATTTAGCCAGAAGAAAGAGATGGCGAAAAGAATCAAAGCAATCGTAGAATGAGGCCAACGAGGACAAAATAAATAAATAAATAGAAATCCTAGTATTACCTAACGTACTTCTACTGTCTAAAGTAAGAAGAATTAATTAGAGAAGAGATTTTAAGAAGTTGCCTGAGGGGGAGCTCCAGCACAATCCAAAGCTCAGAACACTAATCCTCTGGTCCTGATGACTGACCCAGATGTGGTACCCAGAGTAACACAGGTGCAGGAAAAATTGGAAACTCTTCCAAGATTGCTAGGCAAATATATACAGTGATACCTTGGTACTCATCGTTAATTAGTTCCGAGAGGCACAATGAGTCTCAAAAACAATGAGTCCCAAACAAATTTTTCCCATAAGGAATAATATTGTTGAGTCCCAAGGCAGTCGACAACGTCAAGTTCTAGTTTTTGTGTTGAGTACAAAACAAACAATGAGTACCGGGACAACATTTGCACTGAGTCCCGTATTTGATGAGTTTCAAAGCCGTTGAGTACCAAGATACCACTGTATTATCTTTATGTGTATAATTTATTAACCCAGAAGACAAAATAGTTCAAATGTAAAATAGAGAGGAAACGGAGTATCAATAATGAAGAGTATAGAAACATCAGTCCAGGGGTCCCTAACCTGTGGTCCACGGCCCACTACTGGGCCACGGGCTAATCACCACTGGCCTGTGTGGGCGGTCGGTCAGTCCACACACACAGCCCCTCTCACGCCAGTGTTGTCGCAGGTGCTCTTGGCCGATTGCAGTCCCACTGGTGTGAGCATCATGAGTGCCTGTGGCCTCACTCGCGCAACCATTACGGGCGCTCATGGCCCCACTTGTGCGAGCATCATCGCAGAAACTCATAGTCCCTGTCACGCGAGTGTTGCCATGAGTACGGACGCTCGTGCACGCATGAGCACATGTGCTTGCCCCCTTCCCAAATCATCCCTCCTTTCCCCCCTCCTTCCCGCTCCGGGCCACCCACCCAGAAACTCTGCCTCAGTCCTATACTCATCATTTTTAAAGAATTTTCTCTCAGCTGTCACCTGTGAGCCTGATGGCCTGTTATTGATCCTTATCGATGGCTTGTTTTTTATCTTGGGTTTTTGTTCTCCTACAAGCTGCCTTCAGTCCCGTTGTTCAATTTGGGCCACCGCATAAATCCTTTGGATGAAATAAATTAATGCATCAGGCAAACAAACAGGCTGCTGATGAATCTTCCTGCAAATATTCTCATAAAGGTTTTTGCACTTAGCTGTGTAGCGACTGGCAAAATAATGGCTGTTTGAAAAAGAAGATCGGGAGCTTTTTGGAGGGAAAAAATGTGATTGTTTTCTATCCTCTTTGGTTTGTTGGGAGAGAGAGCATTTAGGGGTGATGGGGCACGCGCATGTTGTAGATGATGAACTATTATCCTTGTCTAGCCATCTGCGCGACACCGAAAGCTGAGCTGCGGTTACATGAAACAAAAGGTCTGAAGCATTGATCGCTGAAGTCATCTTCAAACTGTTCACCGTCTTGTCTTCTTTATCGGTTGCTACTTCTTCAAAAAGAGAAGAAAACAAATGAGAGAAAACCCCTGCAGATTCTTCTATGTCTTCTGTTTGCCCTTTAATGTATTTTTTTTTTCTTCTTCTTCTTTTAATACCGTTCCTTGTATTAGACAGGCTGTGGGCCCTTGATCTGCTACTCAAGGACAGAGCTGCTGCTAGCCTCCTATTTTTCTTTTTTTCCAAAACCAGATATATTTTTTTTCTCCCCCTTTGCTTTGGTTAAAATCCTTTAAGTTTTGTTTCTGAAGCATTAAAATAATCTTATGGAGTTGTTTTTTTTTTTTTTTTTAAATCCCTCTATTCCCAGAAGCAGGCAAGAAAAGCGGTACTTCTTAGTGACGTAATCTCTATATCCACGTTTGTGTAACTGCAGGTCTGTACGTTGAGACTCCTTTTGAAGAGACGAATGAAATATTTTCGCAGGGATTTTTTTTTTCTTTTCATCCGAAGGATAGTTGCAGACGGCTCTCTGACCCATTAGATTGCATCTTTCTCTAATGCCTTTCATCATGCGTGTCTATTAAGTGCACGAGGCCAGCTTTTACCTTTATTAAAGCATTTCATACGGCAGTTTGCATCATCTCTCATCTCAGCCGGGTTTGGGTAAAAGCCCACCACGGATGAGATTTATGTGACGAAATACAGCTGGAAGGACTTGTAATCGATCATCTAAAACTGGAAGCATATATCACCATCCGCTGGGGGGTGGAGGTGGGGAATGCATGATTCTCTTAATGAGCATTTGAGAAGATCATTATCAGTCGCCAAGTTACTGATCTATTTTTTCCCTTCCTAAACTATTACATCAGATTTGCTTTTGACTATGGCTTGGAAGTTTTCAGAAGTGGTTGCTCCATCACCGGAGGCTTTAAAAAAGAGAGTGGACAACCATTGGTCTGAAATGGTATAGGGTCTCCTGCTTGAGCAGGAGGCTGGACTAGAAGACCTCCAAGGTCCCGTCCAGCTCTATTCTGATTGAAGTATCCAGGAGATTCATACATTAATCTCATTTGTTGCTCAGGGTGCTCTACCAAAAGGGATACAGGCTACAACCATTTGTTTAGTGAACATTGAGAGTTATAACAGTACATTTTCAAACTTAAAGACCGTCCCCATGGTTACGTGATCAGAATTCAGACACTTGGCAACTGGCATGTATTTATGACTCTTGCAGTGTCCCTTTTTGTGACCGTCTGACAAGCAAAGTTCAATGGGAAAGTCAGATTCAGTTAACCACCATGCTCCTAACTTATAACAACTGCAGTGATTCATTTAACAACTGTGGTGGAAGAATGCTCGTAAAATGGGGCAAAACTCACTTAACAACTGTCTTGCTTAGCAACAGAAACTTTGGGCCCAATTATGGTCATAACTTGAGGACTACCTGCATTTTGATACTTTTCGTCTCTGTTAATCTTCACTTCCACTTAAGCAATCAATGTTCATGGGAAGAGATGTGGCTCCTTTTATAGTCACAGACTGATTGGGCTCCCACATATTCTAGAACAGTGAGCCTAAAGCACTGCATAGCCATACCGTGGAATATATATATATATGTATATATATGTATATATATATATATATATTCTAGAACAGTGAGCCTAAAGCACTGCATAGCCATACCGTGGATATATTACATATATATTCTAGAACAGTGAGCCTAAAGCACTGCATAGCCATACGTGGACTACATTTGGGTTAAGTTGAAGAGCAGGAGGTGTGTGTGTGTGTGTGTGTGTGTGTGTGTGTGTGTGTGTGTGTGTTTATATATATGAATATAAAGTGGTTTACAGAATCAGCATATTGCCCCTAACAATCTGGGTCCTCATTGTACCGACCTCGGAAGGATGGAAAGCTGAGTCAACCTTGAGCCAGTCAAGATTGAACTCCCGGCAGTGAGCAAAGCCAGTGAGCTCTGCTCACTGCCAGGAGTTCAATCCCGACTGGCTCAAAGTTGACTCAGCCTTCCATCCTTCCGAAGTCAGTACAATGAGGACCCAGATTGTTGGGGGCAAGAGGCTGACTCTGTAAACCGCTTAGCAAGAGGTGTAAAAGCACTGTGAAGCGGTATAGAAGTCTAAGTGCTATTGCTATTTGCTATTCCATTGCTCTTATTAATTCGATCAGAACAGAGATGGAAGGGACCTTGGACGTCATCTAATCCAGGGGACCCTTCAGACAAGTGGCTGTCCAGTCTCTTCTTAAAAGCCTTCAGTGATGAAGCACCCACACCCTCTTAAAGCAAGCCACTGTTTAATTGTTCTCACATTAACAGACTTAAAAATGGGGCTAGGTGGGATGATTCCTAGGTAATTCTGCACTGAATCTCTCTGTCCAACTTGGAAGAGTATGTGGGAGGTTCTAAAACTCAGAAGGTGCACTTTTCATGGTGATTCCCTCTTTCCTTCCCTGTAGGGCCCGTGGGGGTGTGCTGCCACCACCCTCCAGCATTCCAAGAGGGGCACCAGCGCCCCGGGGAGTCCCCTCTGGCAGAGGTCCCGTCAGCCGCGGTCGTAGCCTTATCGCTCCCAGAGCAAGAGGAGTTCTGCCATCGGCAGGTTACCGACCTCTCCCGCCACTCCCGGTACAAGATACCTACGGAGAATACGTGAGTACTGACCTCCCAAAATAATGGATGTACGATCGAGTTCCTATGCCAACTGGCTCACTTTTACATGCCTGTCTTGATATAGGTCAGAGGTCTTCAAATGTGGCAGCTTTAAGACTTGTGGACTTCAACTCCCAGAATTCTCCAGCCAGTGCTGATTGGAGAATTCTGGGAGTTGAAGTCCACAAGTCTTAAAGCTGCCACATTTGAAGACCTCTGATATAGGTGGACATCAAGTTAACAACCATGTGTTTAATGGCGGTTCAAAGTTACAACAGCATTGAGAAAAAGTGACCTATGACCATTTTTCACACTTAACCATTCCAGCGTTCCCACGATCGCATGACCGAAATTCAGATATTTGGCAACTGGCATGTATTTGGAGTGCCCTGAGGTCAGGTGAATGATAACATTTTGTGACCTGATAAGCAAAGTCAATGAGGAAGCCAGAGTCACTTGACAACTGTGTTACTAACTTTACAACTGCAGCCATTCACTTAACAACTGTGGCCAGAAAGGTTGTAAAATGGGGCAAAACCCACTTAGCAAACATCTTATTTAGCAATGGAAATTGTGGTCATAATTTGAAGAGCCTTGGTGGCGCAGCAAACTAAAGTGCTGTTAAATAGCACCAGCTGCCTGCAATTACTGCAAATTCAAATCTCACCAGGCTCAAGGTTGACTCAGGCTTCCATCCTTCCGAGGTAGGTAAAATGAGGACCCAGATTGTGGGGGCAATAAGCTGACTTTGTATAAAAAAGAACACCGCTTTGTGGGGGGTGGGGGCAAAAGCCCTACTAAGCAGGTATATACAAAAGTATGAAGGCTATTGCTTAACGCATTGTAAGCCGCCCTGAGTCTCCGGAGAAGGGCGGCATATAAATCGAGCCAATAAATAAATAAATAATCTGATGGTCAGGCAGAGTTCCGAGCCCCATAATGCTGTATAATTTCTTTGCAACCTTTCAAGATGGGGCATGTTTCCCCATTAATTGGGAAACAGGTAATACTTGGTCCTCACCTCTTTCTGCTTGGAGAAAGATATATGGTGGAGGAGGAAATTAGCCAATTCTCTTGGACAATTTCCACGTGAACCAGAAGCTCACAGGAAGCGAGGGAGCTCCATTTGGGCTGGATACAACCAGTTGCATCTCTCTGCGTTCTGGGAGTCCTTTTGCATGGCTGCTGCAGAATGTGTTAATCATTTTCTGAGGTGCTTTTTCGGTTAATGGAGTTGGGTGATACTGTTAACACAGGTATTCTGGGTTTAGGTCCACAATTGGGACCAGAATTTTCATTGCTCAACAAGGTGATCGTCTAGCCCAGGGGTCTGCAACCTTAAACACTCAAAGAGCCATTTGGACCTGTTTCCCACAGAAAAGAAAACACAGGGAGTCACAGAACCCTTCCCGTGCCTGACTATTTCTTGAGCAGCCACAAAACTCGCATATATAGTTGAATGAAACTACTTTCTGTTTTCTTCTGAAACTTTTATTTTCTTGGATTTATCCATGGTTGGCCAACCGGAGGTTGAAAAGCTCAATAAATCATGGGTGGGCGGGTGTCACACATTGGCGGTTGCGACGCATATTTTGAGTGACAGGGAGCCTCAGCAGAGGGGTGAAAGAGCCACATGTGGCTCCAGAGCCGCAAGTTGCTGACCCCTGGTCTAGCCCAATTTTCCCATGGCATAAAGACCTGCCCCAGCTAGTCCCTCAGGAAAGCAAAACTTCTTGAATCCATTAAGTTGAATCGAAAAAACTTTTAGTGAGAGAAAGTGGTTGCAGTAGAACAAGGCGGAATCTGAAAAGTCCTGTTAAGCACAAAGCAATTCTTCTGTTCCCCCAAACCCAATCCCCCTGACCAGTCCATCGGTAGCCAAAGTGATGCCGCAAGGTTGTTTCGAGAATGCTGAGGTGCTAGGCAGATAACAGTTCATCTCAGGGCACATCGGCCTTGAAACCAGGCTGGAACTAGCTGGGAGGGATTCTGCTCCATCTCCGAAGACAATCCCCCTCCCTAATTCCCAAGCAGTTACAGCAAAAGTAAGAGCATGTGAGAAGTGCTAGCAAGCCTTCCTCCCCCCTCCCCAGAACAGAACAGCAGGACATGCTGGTGGACCTGACACAAAGTTATTAAGCAAATCCAACATCTCCCATTGACTTGTGCTTGTCAGGAGCCAATTGGAAAAGTTGCAAATGGGTGTCACATGACCCTGGTCCTTGTAAACATAGTAGATGCATGGCAATTGCCAAGAGCCCAAATTTTGATTATGTGACTGCGGAGATGCTGTGACAACCATAAGTCATTTCTTCTGTCAGTGCCGTTGTAACTTCAAACATTTGCTAAACGAATTGTTGTAAGTCAAGGACTTATCGTATCCTGACGATGGTGGTGTAGAAATTCAGTGCAGCGTGTAACCTACTCTCAGAATACAACCCCTTTTGATGCTACAGTATCCATTTACGCAGGAACTTCCAAGAGTTGGCTCTTACTACCCTTGTCTTCTTTTTGCAGGGACTGCCAACCTTTCTGATCACAAAACTGTTGGCTTAATTCCCCAAAAAACTTTTTGAAATACAGCTAGCAGCAGGGATTTTTCAAGAAACGCCACCAGATCATAACTCTGATCTGAATAATTACTACATCAAACCGATCAATGACTGAAATGCAGGCAGTTGTTAGTTAATAACCTTCAAACCAACTGTTTCTCATTAGATCCGTTTTTGCAAAGTGGTCTCGTGGCACATTTTGACTTGTTGACAGCAGCATCTGTTGGAAAACAGATTGCAAGAATTAAAACGTTAGAGCTACACCCCATTGTACTGCTAGCCAGATGAAGAATGTCTTAGATAACCAAGGAAATGGCCCTAACGTTAGATTTATAAAAGAGAAAGACAACCTCAGGAAGGTCTTTTAAAAATGATTGAAAGTTGGTAAGTGAAATTTTCCAAGTCTGGAGATAATTGAGCATCATACATTGAGCTGTCTGGCTGAATCTGCAAAGGGTAATGTTTTTATCATTTTTCCTAAATATTACTGGTAGTTCCATGTTTCCCCTCATGTCTGAAATGAGCAAAATTAACTCAATGAGATACTTTTATATTTAAAGGATGGCTTGTGTCAAAACCCATGTTGTTGTTAAACTTAGAAGTTGGGCTTCTAAGGGAGATATTTGGGCACAGTCCCTATCTGAATTCTTAGCAGAAAAAAATAAGTTAAGTCCGCAGTAAATAAATATTAAGAGTTCCTCCTGAGTTTTAATAGCTTTGTTGGCTGTGGGTTTCGATGTGCAGGAGAAAACTTAACGTAGAGACAGGTATATGAGTTTACAGGTCTAACACTATTATTTTTCAGCGGACGGTAAAATGTTTAATAAAAAAAGGTAACAGATTTATCTTCTATTGTTTCCTTGGACGATTGCACCAGAAATTTATCAAATTAGCAAATACAAATTAGCTTTAAAAAAACGCAATAAGGGGCCTGCAAATTCTGTGAAAGGAGTTCTTTAGCATAGCAGAATGAAAGATCTTTTTTTCTAAATGGACGCATAGTTTTCAGAGAATTTTAACCCCTCATAAGTATCAGAAAGGGGTACCTATAGATTTATCCCACAGGCTTTGTGCTTGGATAATGTTTGAAGCTCACTGCAACAGACTTTGAGGAAGATTTTCTAATAAATTTAAATGTTAAAATGCCTGTTTTTGTACAGGTATTTCTCAACTAGAGACCACGGTTGAGCCTGGAATATTGGATGCTAAGGGATGCATTGGTTAAGCGAGTCATTCCATGACTGGACCCATTTATATGACAATTTTTGCCACGGTCATTAAGCATATCTAGCTTCCCCAATTGACGTTGATTGTCAGAAACTGGCTGGGAAGGTTGTGAATTGTGACCGCAAGTCTCTGCAACCAGTTGTAAATGCGAGCCTGTTGCCAAGCGCCCAAATTTTAATCACATGACTTTGGGGATGATATCAAGCAGAATAAAATAGAGCTGGAAGGGACCTTGGAGGTCTCCTAGTCCAACAGCCTGCTTAAGCAGGAGACCCTACACCACTTCAGACAAATGGCTATCCAGTCCCTTCTTAAAAGCTTCCAGTGATGGAGCACCCACAACTTCTGCAGGCAAGCTGTTCCACTGGTTAATTGTCCTCACTGTTAGGAAGCTTCTCCTTAATTCCAGGTTGCTTCTCTGCTTGATTAGTTTCCATCCATTGTTTCTTGTCCTGCCTTCAGGTGCTTTGGAGAATAGCTTGGCTCCCTCTTCTTTGTGGCAGCCCCTCAAATACTGGAATACTGCTATCATGTCCCACCTAGTCCTTCTTTTCTCTAGACTGGCCATACCCAGTTCCTGCAACCGTTCTTCATATATTTTAGTTTCCAGGCCTTTTAATTTAGTTGTTGTTCTTTGCACTTTTTCCAAAGTCTCAACATCTTTTTTTGTAATGTCAACTTTTCACAAGATGGGTGACTGTATAAATTTGTTTAATAAATAAATCCAGAAATTGTTTTTAAGAATACTCTAATGGGTAAATAATTTAATTCTCAGGGAACACCTAAGAAGCTCTTATTAGCAGGATTTTTTTTTAATATACTGTAATTTGAGGTATTACCCAGAGTTTCAGGGGCATTTTAAAGGATTATGTGATGCAGACATTTTATTTGCTGGATGGTTATATGCTCCCTTCCCTCCAGGAGTTCAGATCAGCGTTCATGCATCTCTCATCCCTTTTCCCCCTACAGCAACAATTTTGTGAGCTCCATTGTGCAGCAACAAAAAAAAGAGAGAGATTGGGCCAAATAGCCTGCTGAGTTTCTTCAAAGGAGGCTAAAGTTAAACCTGGGTCTCTGTAATTCTTTCCACAATCTTAAACACTCTCCCACTGGCTGTCACTAAAATTGAGGGTTCGCCTAGCTTTTCACAGGCGCTTTAACTCAGGCATCAAAGGTTCAAGGACAGAAAACTCAAATAAAGCCCAATCTAACACATGAACA